CTCAAAACTTGTGCTGAATAAACAGAAGATTTAACTGCTTTCATTAATTCAACGTGACTAATAAACACATGACTACGACAATATATGGTTTATCTGAGTTCATCTTATTATACATTTTATTATAATAAAGTATATAATAATGCAATGCTAATCGACATAGCCTTTATCACTGCTTAGAATACTATGAAATATGTTGCGTGCCTTATTCTGTGTAAGAGGCCACATCATCTCACAGAAGGATTTATTTCAAACACTCGGCTGACGTTATGAAATGAGTTTGGAGTAAAAACATATTAAATGTGTCATTTTCACGTGCTTTCAGATGGAGCAGCATTTACTACACAGAGCCGTAGATCACTGACAAGCTATGCAAACAGCTTTCATAATCGCGGAACAATTTCTTCGATTTCATAATTGCGTGATTAAATCGTCTGTGATTATGAACACAATTTTGCGTAGCTTGTCAGTAAACTATGGCTCTCTGTAGTAAATGCTGCTCCATCTGAAAGCACGTGCTGGAGATTTACTACTAATCACAAAACCGGCTTTACTGACAAGATACGCATGACAATAACATTTGATTAATCGTGCAGCCCTACTTACCGGTCCGCCATTCTTGTCATGCCAGAACCAGACATATTTCTCCTCAGGCCCGTTTGACCTTGTTGATCAGGGCCGGAGTGGAACTCATTTTCAGCCCTGGAGTTTCATGCCTTAGACAGGCCCAATTTGTTTTTTTTGTTTTTTTTACTGGCCTTTTCAGTGCCGCCTTTGCACTTTCTATTATGCATTTTTTATCTATTATTTTTTGCTCGCATATCTCCAACAATTACTTTTTTTTTTTTTGAGCAAGGTTCCGCTGTCAGGGGAGTCAAAAGATAATTACGTCATCATTGCCAATTAACATAAGAAATGGAAAATAAGGGACAATTGTGATTCTTTATCTTATTCTTTAAGAAAATGGTGTTTATTCTTGTAGAAAATAAGTGTTTATTCTTTAAGAAAATAAGGGACAGAATAAGGGACCTTCCAAATATTTGTACTGTACCATAATGTAGGCCTAAGTCTTCCTGCAGTTAAAAAGTTCTCAGAAATAATCACAATTTTTTTGCTTAACCTATTTATGTACAATTATTCTAAAAATAATTGTAAATGTCATACAAAAAATTTAATCGGCCTGAGTAAATTGTACCATTATAGAATTGTGACTTCACACGTGTAATTGAGGAGGTGAAAATACTGTGAAATTACAAATGGCATGAAATTTGAAAATATAACAACTGAAGGTCTATGAAACATCAGTCAATCAATCATTTTTTTTTTAAACAATGGCACTTAAAGTTTTGATCTAAAATATTATTGCAACTATAGCCTTTGAATGAATGAAAATGCATATTTTTCAATTAAAGAAAACTTAAGAGAGTGTGGGCCGCGTCTGGTGCTTGGTTTTTTACTTTAATAATGAGGTCCAAGTTTAAGAATAGCCTACTCAATAAGTATTTATTTATTAATGCATTTTTTCCCCTCTCTATTTAACATCATTAACTTACAATGAAATACGTCTTCCCTCAGGTAGATTAAATGTTTTCCTGTCGTGCTGGATGTTGGGCTCATGATCAATAAGTTGTTTGCATTCGCCCAAACTGATTTTTTGAAATAAAAAAGTGGACGGTGAAGGGTGCAGTTAGCACGAGTCCTGCTCGCTGTGAAACGGGAGCAGCCGGCAGAAAATTACGCTTGGTCTTAAAGCCTTCCTCAAATGCCTATGTTCACAAATAAAACAACGATTTGCGCAAAAATAATAATTAGTTATCACAGTCTATTTTAGTTATCAATTGAGAATTTGTTACTGATATGATCCAATCATCATTTCACGACGACACCTCATTGCAATCTTGATACTGAGAAATGATCATGAGCAATCACAACACCAAGGGAGACACTTCACTGAAGGTGCCATTCGTATGGCAGGCTTTTGGATCGTGGGAGCCAAAAGATGCATATGTTCCTTTATCTTTGAATGTGTGATTTGTCGAAAACTGCGTGGACGAAGTGAACATCCACATGGGTGGAGTGTGGGAGCGAATGATTAGGATAACTCGGAAGATTTTGGACTCAATGATGCTGCAGCTGGGACCATCAAGAATCACACACAAGGTTCTCAAAACATTCATGGCGAAGGTGACGGCAATAATAAATTCCAGACCACTGGTACTGGATTCTATGGACCCAGAGGATCCTCTCATACTTACCCCCTCAATGTTACTCACTCATAAGTACGGTCCTTGTCCTTGTCCACCAGGAGAGTTTGATCATGCTGACCTTTACAGAAAGCAGTGGAAACAAGTCCAAAAGCTGGTGTCCACCTTGTGGGACAGGTGGCGAAAACAATATCTCTCCATGTTGCAACCTAGGAAGAAGTGGCAATTGAAAAGGCAAGACATCACGTAGGGCAGTGTAATTCTTATGAAATACTATCAGTCCAAACATAACCATTGGCCTCTGGGGCGCATCAAAGGTGAAGATCAAGGTCATTGATAAAGAAGAGCCAAAATTGTTCATCAGACCCATAACTGAAGTGGTGATGCTCATTCCTTCAGACTAATTCAGGGACTGGTTTATTCCTCTCTTAGTTTGTTAGCGGTAGGTTTGGTATCCTGTGATACCAGACAGGGAGTGTGTTGTCATGTGTGACATTACTGTAAAAGGTGCTGGCTCCTTTAAGAGTTGCAACTCGCTGATGATGTCATCAATATAGGACCAGCTTCAGTCTATTGCATGGAAGAGAGCAGCCTGCTATTGTGGTTCCTTTCATGTTAAGTCATCTGCTACATTTCTTGTCTTTCGGAGGTATCGTTGGTGTGTAAGTTTATGTTAAAGAGTAATTCAGCTATATTTGATAGTATCTTGTGTTAAAGGGGTCATATGACATTGCTAAAAAATAACATTATTTGGTGTAATGAAATGTGTTTATGTGGTTT